TATAGAACACAGATTTATACATAGTTTAATGATTACTTAGATTAATTGATTTAATATAGAACCACAGAGTTCATAATACTGTTTAATGATTATAGATTATTGATTATATAGAACCACAGATTTACTACACTGTTTACTTTATAGATTTATTGATTTAATATAGAACACAAGTTTATACACTGATAAGATTATAGATTATGATTTTATATTTAGACACAGAGTTTATACACTGATTAATGATTATATATTATTGATTTAATCATAGAAGCACCAGAGTTTTATACACTGATTAAGATTTATAGATTTATTGATTTGAATCAGGCTTCCATATAGAACATAGCTTTAATTTTATACACTGGATTATAGATTATGATGGGGAAATGTTAACAGCGTTATAGCTATTAAGAGTGTTACTGATACAGGGGAGCAGTCACCACTTCCTCTATTATCTGCAGCTCACCTTCCTCCATGTTCCACTGTATGTGCCGAACAAACAGATTCTTTAATCTTAAAAATGTGATTTTCTTTATAATGACTGTCAGGTGTGTCAACACTCGGTGGGAAGTGAGCTTTTTACGGTCCAAATGATTTCCACCACGAAACATTTCAGGTGTGTGTTTCTGTCTGTAAAACCGACTGTCACTCACCGTGGATCTCAATATTTCTGTCTGTATCTCAGCGTTTGTAATGAAATGAATTTCTGACGATGTCAACAAAAATAAAATTTAGACTTGTGATCAGATTCATGTGGAGCACAAGCAGTAAAAGTGGTGTGTGTGTGTGTGTGTGTTGGTGTTTGTGTGTGTGTGTGTGTGTGTGTGTGGTTTTACCTGCGCCTTCTTTATGCCGTTAAGTCAGTAAAGCCCTGTAATCTCCACCCCGCTGCCCGTACACACACACACAATCAAACACACACGCGTGCCCCCTCTTTAAGGCGGTCCGGATATCGGGTGTCTGCGCAGACCGACGGACGGTCTGTGTGCTTCCAGATGTTCTCCGTTTGGATTTGACCTATTCTCCATTACATGCTGATCTGAGCAGCTTATGGTGTTTGTGTTCAATGCGGTGGTGTGACATTTAACCCTGCAGGAGGGACGCACCCCCCCCCATCCATTAATTGATTAGTGATTATCTGACAAAGACTGCAGCCACCTCAACAGAAACTCACCGGTCCCCGTGGGTTCGTCCAATCGCAGCAGCTCCTCTGAAAGTTTGTCCAATCAGCAGTTTCCCCGATCGTCACCAAACTGCTGGAGGTTTTATTCTCAGCTCATTTATAATGAATTATACAAACACTATTCCTCCTGTCAAACTAAAACCTGAAAACATCACAGAATTATAGCAGAGTTCCCACACATCTGGAAAATGTGGGAAATGTAGAGACTCGTGTTTCAGGATTAACAGACGCAAATAATAATGCTTCTTCTTTCATTTCAGCTCCCATGGCTGTGGGCTGTTTGCTTCAACTGTATTCATTATAAAAGAATCAATTATACCCCCAAAAATCTAAAAAACATTTGTCACCTTCAATTTTTAATACCTTTTTACAAAAAGATGTTTTTGTAGTTTCATTGCAAAATAAAGAGTAAAAACAGTGAATGCTTTATAGAAAAGCTTTATAGAATAATTCATTACAAAAATGAAACACACATTGCACACACACACAATGAAACCCATGCATCCTGGAAAACCTGGAAAAGCTGGACATTTAGAGACTAGTTCTCCAGTCACAGTTAGACCTAGAAATTGATTCAAATGAGCAAAATATCCTGATAAGAATGTGAGTTATCCTAGAAAACCCTAATTGTGTTACAGCCAGATGAATGTTAAAGCAGTGTCCGATGGTGAGCGAGTGCCGCCCTTAAAACAAATGAACTGTTAACTGTTAAACAATGTTTACTTGTTTGTGTAATCGAAGTGTAAAAGCCTGTAAATGTAGACACACATTTGGATTAAAGTGTGCGTACAGGGAGCTGTGACGGTGGTAAAATGAAGCTCTGTTCCACATTAAAATCTGAGGCACACATTTTCAGCGTCAAAGTTGTTTAAAAAAACTTCACTTTAAAAGCAGCCTGTCCACACTGAAGACGTTTCAGATCCATCGTCCTCCGCCAGAGTCCAAGCAATGAGGGGATGTGACGGTGTTACGGGCGAGCGGTGCCTGAATACAGCGACAGAGTTTGAACACTGGTGGAAGAACAACATTTAATTACAGAACTGATTTCTGAGCTCTTATTGTGAAACTCTCTCTTTGTGTTGATTCCCTGATGTTTGCTTTGGCTCCAACGTTGTTTTTTATCATAATTACGGCCAATAAAGCTTCAGTCGAATTACATCTGAGTGGTAGAGCGAGGTAGTGTGTGTGTGAGGGAGAGAGAGAGAAAGGTGTGTGTGTGTAAGGGAGAGAGAGAGAAAGGTGTGTGTGTGTGAGGGAGAGAGAGAGAGAGAGGGAGAGAGAGAGAAAGGTGTGTGTGTGTGAGGGAGAGAGAGAGAGAGGGAGAGCGAGGTATAGTCGGACTGATGTCCTCTGACTGTGTGTGATGTGTTCAGTTGCAGGCTGAGCAGCTTCACAAAGCAAACCTCTTTCATTAGTTGATTATTATAATTCACTCTTACTTTAATTAACAATCTCACTCTGTCACATTTTAGTTTTTGGATTATTTGTCAGCGCAGTGTCGGCTGTCTCAGGTGAGTTTATCTCTTTCATTCATTCATTGTTCACTAAAGAACCTGTGGAAATACTTTAAAGTTCATTAACGTGAGGATTAAAACAGGATAGATTGTTTTTCATTCGTTCATATTTCTGTGTTGCTCAGTGTTTTATGTTTTAATTAAATACACGTTTTAATTTTGAATGTATTTCTTTTTGCATTTTAATTAATAATAAGTTGATCGCCTCTCTTTCATGTGGTTAACCATCAGTTCATCCACAGAAGTGAAATCCTCCCTCCACCTCCAGGACACCATAATTAAGTCATTATTTAATTAGAATAAACAGAAATTAACGGCATGATATTTATTAACGCGTCCCCTCACACACACATTGATTTAATAATATAATAAGTAGAAGTAACAGAAATGTGTTTCTGATTTCTACTAAAAGAAGTTTAGTCAGAAATACAAAAATGAAAAACAATTTAAGCCTTAAAGAAGATTAATTTAAAGATCATTTAATTAATTACATTAAAGATAAACTGCTGAAATGTACCCGAGCCCTTATTGTTCCTACCAATCATTATTGTCCGTAGCTTTTATAATAACATTGGAAATTTTGCCTCATAAATTGTTAATAAACAAAAATTTCCAAATGAATTAAAAAGGTGTTTTTGAATGTTGTAAAAATAAAGTAACATTTGTCCCAGTAAATTAATAACTGCTTATAATAACTGCTTATATAATAGCTTAAAATAATAATATTAAAGGGAAACTACAATAAATAATATAATAAAGGAAACAGCTCCACAAGATTAATAAAGATTCATAATGAAATGTGTTTTAATAGGAAACTGTAGAGAAGTGTAAATATACACAGAGGAGTTAGGAAAGGAAGCAAATGTTTCAAATGAGAAGGAAACAGTTTGTTTAAAGGTTCATTGAAGGTATTTTAAATAAAGTTTGTCTGATTCAGTTTATCCTGATGACGTCCACAGCAGAGTGAAAGCTTCGGTTTACGGCGTCTACAATGACTGAAACTATGTCAGCAGAAGCTCACAGAGATCTGAGTGCTGAGCAAGAAGAACAAGAAATTGAAATTCTGTTGCAAAGAAAATGTCGACTGATTTCTTTTTGGGGGGGATTTATTAAGAATGAGGAGACGCAGTCCACAGAGCGTACAGGTTTACTGACCTCACAGGAGACACAGTCAGTGAGTCAGGGATTAAATTAAAAACTAGTTAATCAACCTAAAGTTGATTTTAGGTGGAAATACTCCGGAAGGTTCAGAACAAGGTGCTTCTGTCTGACTGTAGTAAATGTGTCTTTCTCTGTGTGTCCAGATGAAGGTGGAGGGGCTACAGGAGGACGGGGAGTCTGGTTCTGTGTCCTCAGCAGACCGGGCCGCCACCGCCGCCGCTCGTGCCGGCGGGACGGCTGGGTGCAGCCCCGGCTCGGCCGAGCGCTGCATGTCCCGGCTGCTGAGCGCGGTGGAGAGCGAGCTTCAGGCCGGCCGGGAGAAGGGCGACCCGACGGAGAGGGAGCTGAGGGTGACGCTGGAGGACGCCGAGCTGTGGAGGAAGTTTCAGCACATCACCAACGAGATGATCGTCACCAAGAACGGACGGTAATCTGAGTCTCTTTGTTCCTGAAACCAGATTACATCCATTAGTTTGATTTGATTCAGGGCTCTGTGATCGGAGGTTCCTCCATCACAACCTCAACCACGCTGCACATCCACACAGGTGTTTCCACTGAGCTCAGTGTGGGAGGAGCGTGGGCGAGCAGCTGCTTCCAGGTGTGACCCTGCACAGGTTGAATCCCTGACTGCCTCCCCTCCGGTTCACAGCCTCTTCCACCAGTTATTGATCCGTCTCAGCCGTCCATCCAGACTAACACGACATGTTTCCTTTCTGAAACCTTAAAACATCGTCATCCAGTGAGCGTTTCAGTGTCGGTAAAGGAGCTCACACACAACAGGAAGGAGAAGATGTCAAACAAAATGTCTCTAAAGTAAAATCATTTATTAGTCTAAAATAAGAAGAATGATTCACCTGACAAAGCTTTCTAACAACACTGAGACCATCATGAAGATTTACACAGAAAATATAAATAACTATTTACAGAGTTTAGTAGAATATGATCTGAAAGGTTGATTGGTTGGATTAATGAAGTTGCTTTTATATGTGGAACCAGTGCTGGTTTTCCTTCATATGCTCTGCACTTTTTCCTCCAGTGAGAAAATGAAACAGGTCTTAAAGTAAATCATAAAGCCCTTAAGAAGCCGTGAGTCGTGCTGTGGTTGTCGTCGTGCTGTGAACGCTCCCTGCACAGTGTTTCACATTAATCGTTATCTGTTGCTTTTGGGAATATTTTCTCTCAGGAAAGCGACTTTGCTGCGACTCCAGATCAGCGATCCTGTTGACCGGGGTTATTCATTAGCGTGGATAGCAGCCGTTAACGTCGCCTGTGTGTGTCTGTGTGCTTTTTGCCGAGGCGAGGCGGGTCGCCCAGTCGCGCCCCGCGGTGGGAAAACACTCCATTTACACCTGCTGAACGCCACTTCAACTGCTGTTACTGATGGAGAGCCGTCTGTCTGTCTCACTGAGGCTTTAGACGCACAACACAAGCTGACAGACACACGAGGCCTTTACTTTTACTCTCACTACTCAGAGAGGGAAATACTCTGATGGTGGCAGTCGGTCTGCGCTGTCTTTAATAAACAAACACCACAAAGATCCTCTGAACACACAGAGGGGGAGGATGAAGAGACACAGGTGGACAGAATAAAGTAACTAATAATTACTAATGAACTTAGTAATAATATTAAAAATAACTGGATACAACTTTACTTTTGTTGTCTCCTCCTCATTTGAGATCAGTCTAATGGTTGGAAACATTGAGCAGGATTATATTGATCGACAACGAGCGAACTCGTGAAGATAAAATGTTTCCAGACTCTTCAAGATCAATCAAATATAATCATTTTGGATTTATAAGAAATGAAATGAGCACAGACGCAGTGATATTGTCTCATTCTCATCATGCTGTAGCTCAACCTGAGGACATTCATGTAATTTCTGTATATTTCATATTGTATTGATCGATATCAATAACAGCTGATCAACTGATCAATGAACCCAAACAGTGAACTCAATCACTGCAGGAAGTTTGATTATTTCCTGTGAATATTGATCAGAGATGACTTTTCCTGATATTTTGATTCTCATTATCATTTTAACAATCAGACGGATTCTCTGTTTTCTGCTCATTGATCAGCTCATTGGTTCCTGATTCAGGACGAGGTTGTTGATCAGAGACTGAAGCTCCGTCAGTGTCCACTGTGTTCAGGTTCAGTCTTCAATAATAATATCCACTTTAAAAACAACACTTTCTTTTAGTTTTCACACAAATGAGCTGCTGTGTGTGAGTCCTCAGAGAGAGGACTTTATGAAGAGGACAGACGTGAGCGGTTATATGTCTCTCTTTACTCCTTCCTCACAGAGCACCGGTGTCTTCCTGCTCTGCTGCTGCCTCCATCTGCCTCCATCTGTCTGCCTGTCTGCCTGTCCTGCCCTGTCTGTCCTGCCTTGCCTGCCTGCCTGCTCCTGCTCTGCTCTGTCTGCTTCTGTGTGATTGTGGTGACACTTGTGGTATTGTGACACCACCGTTACCCATTCCGGATCCCAGACCCTCGACCGTTTCAAGCAGCCCCTGTTACAACTCCTCGAGGCGGCAGTGGACCAGAAAGTCCTGTTGTCTGTGAGGTGAAATGGTTAATGGAGTCCGATGTCTTTGGAGGGAGCGTCCTTTGATTGATTTGACGTTTAGTGGATCAAATAACCAGATAAGAACAACCTGCAGGTGTAAATATGACCAGAGATTATACCTGATTATTGATTATTATATTGATTATTACTGCACCAGACTCTATTGACATAAGCAGACATTTTAGCTCACAGATCAAACTCCAACATTAACTTTGCTGTTACATTGACATATAAATCTAATAGTATTAATTGTGTGTGTGCAGCCGGATGTTCCCGGTCCTGAAGGTCAGCGTGTCCGGTCTGGACCCCAGCTCCATGTACTCCTTCCTGCTGGACTTCGTGCCGGCCGACGGCTGCCGCTGGAAGTTCGTGAACGGGGAGTGGGTGGCGGCGGGCCGGGCGCGGGCCGGGAGGGCCGCGCGAAGGGCGGGGCCACGGCGGCATCTAATCCACCCCGACTCGCCCAACTTCGGGAGCGCACTGGATGAAAGCGGCGGTGAACCTTCAAACGGTCCACTCACCAACAAAGGTCAAACGAGGAGGACAGGTGACTTCATTTCTGTTGTTATTTGTTTGTTTGTGTCTGTTTATTATTTTATCTCGTGCTGAGATAGCTCAGTTTGTCGACCCCTGGAATGAGCCAGTCGGCCGCATGGTGGCGCTGTAATTAAATACACTTGTGGAAAGGCACGCCCCTCGCCCGTGCGTCTTGAAGTGACCGTTCCTCCTAAAGTGAAAATCTGAATTAACCAAATGGTTGACACGTCATCGGACTGAGTTTTTTCTATCTTAAATGAGCGAGATCGGTCCAAAAACAACAACGTCAATCAAAAATATGGGTTCGCGAAGGGCGGGCTTGAGCCGTTAACTCGCCGTTAACTCGCCGTAACTCATTAACCATTTTGTCCCAATCGGCATAAAACTTGGTA